AATAAAGCCAGCTTAAAGACCAGGCTCAGAGGCCTCCAGACTGCAGGTTTTCTAACTCTGGAGAGCAAGGAGTAATTAAATAAGACAGGAAGCACCATGAGATCTTGCCTCTTATTGGATACCTATGTGAAAATGGAGCCTAGCACTCCACCCCCACCTCCATCCCCAGCAGCATCATTAAGTGTTGCCTCTTCTTTAAGCAAAACTACGTCTTACCCTGAATTTGCCAAACAGGAATGAGGGGGTGTTTATTTGTATCACAAAAAAGATTTAGTTTGTTTCTTAAAATAGCCGGTCCTATTCCGTTTTTTTTTTTTTTAATAAAAGAGTTTTTTTAGTTAATGGGGAATTTGATTTGCACAACTTTTTAGAAAGAGGCTCTGTGGAAATGAAGGATCTGTACCAGAAGCTGAGCTGCTAGTCTGTGCCCAGTGTCTCTGCAGACTGTGAATGGGGGAAAAGTCAGGTTCCCTGTACATTGATTTGTCCAGGTGGGCATGGGTTAATTTAGTTCTGTGGCTATAGGAAGACTGCCCAAAGAGACTTGTGTGTGGGGGTGAGGGGTGTCTCTTCTTTTTTCTGTGTCTGATGATATTCATTCACTAAATAATTGCAGGCTCCAGAAAACTAGAGATGACTTCCCCCACCAAAGTAGTTAAGGATGAATAAAATTGCAACTGCTATTTGGACATTTTGAAGAGAGGTTCTGGAATAAAGCAACTCCTTGAAAATCGGGAGTGGATGGGGGGAATTTTCCTAAATAGTTCTTAGCTAAAAAAAAATTGAACTATAATAATAGACCACTTAAAAAGCATAGCTGGGCCTAGTGGCTCATGCCTGTAATCCTAGCTTCTCAGGAGGCTGAGATCTGAGGACTGTGGTTCAAAGCCAGCTTGGGAAGACAAATCTGAGAGACTCTTTAGCTGACTAGCAAAAAGCAGGAAGTAGAGGTATGGCTCAAGTGGTAGAGTACCAGCTTTGAGTGAAAAACCCAAAGAAGAACTTAAGTCCCCAAGTTCAAACCCCAATTGGTATAAAAACAAACCAAAACAACCTTTATGTTTGAAGCTCATCCTTTTTTTTTTTTTTTCCTTGTTCTGGAAGTTCTTGAGGCAGAAATGTAAGGGCGGGGGCGGGAAGAGACAAATCTATGAGAAACGAGGAAACTATTATGATCTGTGATAATACGCTCCTCTAGCCAGAAATCTCAAAGCAATTGAAAACCCACAAAATTATTATGAGTTTAGAAATGCTTTCCAACATACAGAGCCTGAAATCCTATGGCTTTCGTATTTGTAAACAGTGACCAGTTGGAAAACTAAAATGGGGGAGAAATGTCGGGCATAAAAATAGAGTCCCTCAGATGGCACTAAATGACTAATGTGTAGAAGCAATATGGGGAAAATGGAGGATGGTGGGAGATACAAAATGAGATTTTTTTTTTTGTCAGTCATGGGGCTTGAACTCTGGGCCTGGGGTGCTGTCCCTTAGCTCTTCAACTCAAGACTAGCGCTCAACCACTTGAGCCACAGCGCCACTTCTGAGATTATTTTTTTTTCCAGCAAGGTAACCATCGGTTCCTAGTAGAATGATTTCTTGTTGTCCCATTGCCCGTTATCTTGAATTTAACTTCAAAATATTCAGTTCAGTTCAAGGTCCTAATTCCACCCCCCCATCTGAGGACAGGGATTGACTAAAATATAATTCAACAAAAACTCCATTGGAATAAAAAAAATCTTGATATGCTGCTTCTAAAAGTTCTCTTGGAAGAATAAATCCACAATGATCGCCAAGAAAATGTTGGAAGTTAGGATAATGAGGGAGGCCTTGCCCTGCCAAGATATAACATATTATAAAGTGACTATAATTAAAACCCCCATTGCCATACTTCAAGGCAGATCAGGGGAATCGAACAGAAGGCACAGAGACAAACTCTAGTATATATATAATTATTGAGCATATAATAAAGGTGACACTTGAAATCTGTAGGAAGGGCTGAATTATTCAATCAAGGATGCTGAGACAATTAGTTACCTAGTTGAGGAGAGGAAGAGGCAAATCAAGTCCCATTCTATATCAGAGCTCAAGAAATTCCAAATGGGTTAAAAAGATGAAGGTGGAAATCATGCTACATAACAGTAAAAAAAATCCAGATGAAATACACACAAAAATCTTGGATAATATTTATATAACTTTGTGTGTGAAGGCCTTTGGAGGTGTAGTTGGATTGAGTTGTCTTTGTCCAGATTTCCTAATTAGGGCTTGAAATTGATACATGATATTTCTATTAATGTGTGTGTGTGTGCACCTGTGTGCCAGTACTGGGGCTTGAACTCAAGCCCTGAGCATTGTCTCTTAGATTTTTCCACTCAAGTCTCTGGCACTCTGCCCCTTGAGCCACAGCTCCACTTCTGGCTTTTTGCTCATTTATTGAAGATAAAAGTCTCTTGACTTTCCAGTCCATGCTGACTTCAAACCTTTGATCCTGGGATCTCTAGGATTACAGGTGTGAGTCACTGGTCTGGCTTCTACTTGCAGTTTTTTCAGGAGTTTAAATCTCCAGAGGATTATGAGAATCAGTACATTGCAAGTTTGTAGCCCTCCTCCACCCTCCGTTGCTGATGATTTAGGATCTGCCTCTCAGTTTCCTTCTCACTCTCTGTGTTTCATAATATTTGATTATGGAACATCAAACTCATATAAAAGCAGGAAAATTAGTATAATGACTCCTTATATGCCCATCACCTGGATCTTTTTTTTTTTTTTTTTTTATCCATCACACGTCTGGGCATCCCAAATGATTTTGTACTGGATTATTCTATCCCTAAAGCCTCTAAGATGTATCCTCAAAGATATTCTATTTAAATGCCTACATCATCTTACCAAATATTATTACCACACCAAAATAGTTAATTCTCTTAACATCAGTAATTCCCCAGTATCATAAAATATTAAGTGCAAATATCCATTTTCTTTATATTTATATATTTACTTATTTACACTAGTTTATTCAAAGTGGGTTTCAAATAGTTGTGCATATTGCATTTACATTTCTTTTTAAACAGCTTCCTTCTCTCTCTCCCTCCCTTCCTTCCTTTCTTCCTTCCTTCCTTCCTTCCTTCCTTCCTTTCTTCCTTCCTTCCTTCCTTCCCTCCCTCCTTCCCTCCTTCCCTCCTTCCCTCCTTCCCTCCTTCCTTCTTTCCTTCCTTCCTTCCTTCCTTCCTTCCTTCCATCCATCCTTTTTCTCTTTCAATTCTTTCTTTGTGTGAGTCTTGGGGCTTGAACTCAGGAACTGGATGCTGTCCCTGAGCTCTTTTGCTCAAGGTTAGCGCTCTGCCACTTGAACCACACTTCTACTTCCAGCTCTTTGGTAGTTAATTGGAGATAAGAGTCGCACAAACTTCCTTGCGTTGGACTGGCTTTGAACTGTCCTTAGAGAGATCTTTAGATCTCAGCCTCCTCAGTAGCTAAGATTATAGGCAGGAGCCACTGGTGCCCAGCAATATGTGTTTTCAATTCCTATGAATGTGTGTTTCCCCTCTAATTTCTCCTCCTTTGCTGCGTATTTGTTGAGGGAAACGTATCATATGAGTTGTTTCTGCAGTTTCCATATTTTAGGGCTTAGGGTTTAAGGAGTGCAATGTTTTTCTGCCTGTGTCATTACATACATCCCTGTCATTTGTATCTTTTTCTTAAAAACATCTGTTTGTAGTTATATCCAGGGACTTACACTGATTGGGCTGTGTTTATGCTAGGCAAGAGGTGTCTTTTTGTGATGTTAGCAGGTAGTAACGATCTTGGTCCAGATTTCTCGCTCTACAAGGGTTCGCTCGGTTTACTGTTCTGTTTTCACATCCCAAACATGTAGTTGACAGACTACGATCTTCCATGCACATGGTGTCTGTCCAACAGGACCAGGGCATCCAGAAGTTGTGCAGAACATTGGGACGGCAAAAGTGTAAAAGAAAATTGGAACATGACATTAGTTTTTATTTTGTAGACATTTCTCTGACTGCCCCTTCCGCCATACCAGACGTGGATGCAGCTCACAGAAATCCATCTGATTTTATTGATGTGTGTATGTATGTATGCATGCATGGATGTATTGGAGTGCTGGCATTAGGTCTCAGGGCTTTGAACTTTCAAGGCAGGCACTCTGAGCACATGAAATACACTTCTAGCTCTGCAAGTCTGCATTTTTAACATATTTAGTGGCAAGTTACTAAAGTAGTATTAGTTGTAATCAGGTGGTTTGTGGTGAGGGAATGGGACCCACCTACCTTTGGCATTGTGGGCACCTCTACAGGGCTTAGAGATTCTTGTATCTCTTCTGTCTAAACCCCTGCTTCATCTGCTGCCTGATTTAGGAAGCAGCATTCTGTTTGCAAGCAGAACTTTAAGGGGTGATCAGGTGTCCTGGTCACCTTTGAACGTGTCCACACCTGTACGAGACGCAGCGCTAGGCACCTAGGACAGAGTGCTGAAGTTATGAAGTTATGGGATAGGCAGGCGCCAGAGACACACCTGTTTTGTGAAGCCTGGTTTATTGATCTCTTCTTCCTTTTTTCTTCCCCTCCTCCCTCCTCCATTTCCCTCTCCTCCTTCTCCCCCTCCCTCTCGTTCTCCTCTTCCCTTCCCCCCTCCTCTCTACTCCCTCCTCCTGTACTCCCCCCTCCCCTTTCCCCTCCCTCTTCCTCTACTTCCTCTCTCTCTTCCTCCTCCTTTTCCTTCTCTCTTCCTCCTCCTTCCCCTTTTCCTTTCTCCCCTCCCTCTCTTCTTCCTCCTCCTCCCTATACTCCTCTTTCCCTTCTTCTTCTCCGTTCTCCTCCTACCTCTCCTCCTCCTTCCCCTTCCCTCTTTCCTACCTTATTTTCTTCCTCCTCCTCTCTCCCCTTCCCCTCCTCCCCCCTCCCTGTCCTTTTCTCCCTCTTCCCCTCTCTCTCCTCCTCCTTTCTCCCCCCCCCCCCCCCCACCCCTTTCCCTTGTTTTCTCTTTTGCAGTCTGCTGCTTTGTGGTACACAAGCGGTGCCATGAGTTTGTCACCTTCTCCTGCCCGGGCGCTGACAAGGGCCCCGCCTCTGATGTAAGTACTCTCCTGTCACCGTGGCCACTCTGTACTGTCCTAGGTAGATAAATGAGATACTCTCACTTCAAAGGCCCAAGTCCCCAGCCTCCTGGCTGCTGAGCCCATCTTCTTCTGAGTGGAGAAACAAAACCCAGCCTTTTGAGAGGAGGCGTGGTGGGTAGGGTGCATGGTATGCATTTGCTGAGTGACTGACCCTCCCTGCCATGCAAGGTGGGGTGTGCAGAATGATGGGCTTTCCTGTTAGGGCTACCATAAAAGGGAGTTTGGGTGTCACTTGGCACAATTTGTGTGTGTGTGTGTGTGTGTATGTGTGTGTATGTGTGTGTGTTACTGAGGAATGAACTCAGGGCCTCACGCTTGCTAGACAAGTGCTCTACCACGTGAGCCATGACCCCAGGCTTTTTTTGGCCAGTCCTGGGGCTTGCACTCTGGGCCTGTGCAATGCCCCTGAGCCTCTTTGTGTTCAAGGCTAGCCCTCTATCACTTGAGCCACCGCACCACTTCTGGCTTTTTCTGTGTAGTTTGATGGAGGATAAGGGTCTCACAAACTCCCCTTCCCAGGCTGGCTTTGAACCATGATCCTCAGATCTCAGCCTCCATGAGTAGCTAGGATGACACACATGAGCCACCAGTGCCCTGCCTTCTGGGCACTTTTGTGTGAGGATAGGATATAGTGCTTAGAGTTGTGGCAGCCCTTTTGGGTCAAGGAAGGAGATACGGTTGATGAACTGAGCATGATAGAGTCACAGAGTTGAAGGAACCCGGGTTACCAGGGACACTGCTCAATCACCTCTGAGTCTTCTTATCTCCAGTTTCCATTTGACTCATGCCTGTCATCCTAGCTACTCAGGAGGCTGAGATCCGAGGATCGTGATTCAAAGCCGGTCTAGGCAGGAAAGTTGGTGAGACTCTTTATCTCCAATAAGCCACCAGAAACCGGAAGTGGCTATGGCTCAAGTGGTAGAGTGCTAGCCTTGAGTAAAGAAATCTCAAGCCCTGCATTCAAATCGCAGGACCAGCACAGGGATTAAAAAAATGGGAAGGGGGGCTCTTCTTGGTAAAGTTTCACTGTTTGGTGAATTCTTTTACATACAGCTGCACCTGTCTCTCTCACCAGGACTTTCAATGACAGTCACCCACTCACTGCCCAGTAATGAACGGTGATCCGCTCACCCCCACCTGCCATCTTGTCACCCTATTTGTCTCTATTTCTGCTTGGCTTCACCTTCTGGACTTTTCCCCCTTGGCTTTGTCTCTATAATTGGTCCTGTAACCTACTTAGAATTGACAGCTGACCTCAGCTTGCTTCTGATGAGTAGTAGCCCAGCAACTACATTCTGTCACTGAATTTCTTCTACTCCCACTGGCTTTTTACAAGTGGTCCTGGGGAAGTTTCACTGCAGGGGACTTCCGGTGGGGGGGGGCGGGGAAACCTCCTGTCTGTTGCCAGGGCAACAGGAGCTTGTTGTAGCCAATGCATTGCTTGGAAAATGTGCTACTTGAGGTCCTCTATGATGGTAGTTCAAGCAATACTGGCAAAGCAGGTAAAGTCATTGTGTGTGTGGGGGGTGGAGGGGTGGGGAATCCAGAACATTCCAAATTCTCTCAGATTCCACACTCAGGTCCTTTTTTTGCTGCAAATGCTTTTCCCATCTCCAGGAAAGTAGGAAGTTTGAGAGGACTGCCTAGCTCCATAATGCAGCTCTTAACATGTTCATGCAGCCAAGTAGCAGCCAAAGGCTTGGTGTTCTCCCAAGTCTTGTCTCTGTCTCTGTTGCCTAAGACCGAATGTAGTTCAAACTGGAGTGCAGTTGATTTTTTCTTTTTAACCACTAAAAAAAAATTTTTTTTACTTATTTCATTCCTGTAGTACCCAGGAATTGAACCCAGGACCTCATGCCTCCTAGGCAAGTACTCTACCACTAAGCCACATTCCCAGCCCCCAGGGAAAGGGAAGTTTGAGGTCATGAGATGGAAAAGTCCTAGGGTAGACCTGGCTTTGACACAGTCTGGAACCCAGTGGATTCCCTGCACGTTCTGCCATACGCCATAGGTAATTCCATTTGCTACGAGTGTATCTTATGCATATGTGTGTGTGTGTGTATATATATATATATATAAAACAAACATGTGTTTTTTTTGTTTTAGTTGTGTAACAAAAGTGGATTGACTTTATATCAGCATTTAAATCACGTTAATTTTGCACCTTGGTATTAAAGTTCCAGGATTTCAGGAGAAGAGAAATTTAGGGAGCCATTCAAGGACCTTGACCTTCTTATCTGGAGAATGGATTCATGCATTTTTTTGTGTGTGTGTGATCAAGGTCTACTTATGGCAGGTAGAATTAAAAGCTTGGAGGAGGGGCTCAGGGAACCCACACCCAGCCTCCTGGAATAGCAGTGCTCAGCAGATGTGAGGGTCTCTGGTTTCCAAGGAGAGGCCCAATGGGCCTGGGACCCAGACCTCTATGCCGAGTGCTGGTGGCTAGTGCTCTTGGTCTCTGAAGAAAGTTTGAGGAACATGGCCCTTGGATCCAGATTGTTCCAGAAAGGGACTGCTGCTGAAGGAATGAAGAGGCAGTAACAGGGTAGCACTCTCAGGAAGGGCAAGCTGAATGGAAAAGGCAAGTCCCTCCCTCTCCTTCTAAAACCTTTCGTTTCTCCACGTGCAACAGAGCACAGACTGGCACAATCTCATTCCTTGCATCACAGATTGGAATAAACAGGATGCATGCGGAGCTAAAACAGGATTTAATAATCTACAAGTCTGTCTCAGTCCTCTCTCTTCTTTAGCCTTCAGACTTGGACCAGTTTATGCCCTTGTGTCTCTCCTCCAGCTCTGTGATTCATTCTTGGACTGGATTACACTATTGGGTTTCTTGGTGCTCTGGCTCACAGATGATTGATCATGGGATTTCTCAGCATGCAAGCCCCTTCATAGGATAAATCAACCTTTCTATCTGCTTCTGTCTGGTTGGATCTGTCTCTCTGGTATATGTTGTCTCTTACACATATCTGCTCCTAGAGGTGGGAGCCGGTGTACACACTCCATGGAAGACAAGTTGTTCAGAGGAGAGCAAGAGGATCAGAATTTAAAAATAATTATTATCTTTAAGTGGTTGTATAAGAAAGTTCCCATTCTACAAAACAGTATTTGAATACAAAGTGTCTGATAACATTGTCACCCGTCGGAGGAGCAGGATTTTTTTTGGGGGGAGGGGGGTTGGTCATGGGCCTGGGCGCTGTCCCTTAGCTCTTCAGCTCAAGGCAGGCACTCTACCACTTGAGCCATCGTGCCACTTCCAGTTTTCTGGTGGTTTTTCTTTCTTTTTGGCTCTTTTTTTTTCCTGGTAGTCTATTGGCAGTAAAAGTCTTACAGACTTTCTTGCCCTCACTGGCCTTGAACCATAATCCTCTTGTGTAGGAAAGATGATAGGCTTGAGCCACCGACAGCTGCCTATTTGCATCTTCTTTATGTCTCAGGTTCTTCATCTGAAACGTGGTAAGATGATCATCAGTACCTTATATAGATACCTCTGAATATCGGGTGCATAATTAACACTTAGGATGCTGTCTGGTACTGTACATAGCAATGCATAGGTATATGGGATGATGGTGATGGTGATGATGATGATGGTAATAGATGGCAATGACAACAATGTAAGATCGTGGAAGGAGCAGAAAGCAAGGACAGACTAGGAAAGTCTAAAAGAATGAGTAGCTTTCCTGTGGGTAGTCTTGCCTAGGTGTGCGCAGGCTCCTCAGGAGGTGTGAATGAGCCCCCTCTCTGCATGAATGGAGGAGTGTGGCCATTCACGGCTGTAGTCAGGGGGAGATCAGGCCAGCATGCATTGGCCTTAGCTGCCTACCTGCCAGGATTCTGTCACTGGATTCTGTCCCAGGAAGGACTTTGGCACCAAGGATGAAATACTGGTCCAGACTCCTGAACTAGCTAGCTCGGTTCACTGACCTTTCTCTGGGCTCATGGTTGGAGGCATGATTCAAGTCTTGGCCACACCTGCTCGTCCACCTGGCCAGGCTGTCCTCTGGCTGCCCTGACTGCTCATGCAGGTCTGGAGGGGCATCCTCGTCTCCTGTGTGACCTTGGGGGACAGCAGGCTAGGGGAGCGGAATGGACAGTTCCATTCACACAAAGAAAGAGGAGCGTGCTGGGCTCCATGCTCCTGCATTCTGTTATTCCAAGTCAAACCAACTAGGACATATCCTGGATTTTTATTTTTATTTATTGTTTTTGGGTGTGGGGCTTGAACTCAGGGCCTGGGCGCTGTCCTGAGCTTTTTCACTCAAAGCTAGCGCTCTATCACTTTGAGCCACAGCGCCACTTTGGGTTTTTCTGGTGGTTCATTGGAGATAAGAGTCTCAAGGACTTTTCTACCTGGGCTGGCTTCCAACCACAATCCTCCAATCTCAGCCTCCTGAGTAGCTAGCACAACAGGTGTGAGCTATCAGGGTGCCTGGCTTCGTATCCTGGATTGAAGTCATGATATAACTAGAGCTTTGCATATTGGACATCATTTGATAGCTAGGTCCATATTGTACAATTGGGACTGGCCTTTGTGTAGCTGCTGACTCAATTACTCTATGTGACCAAGAGGGATGGCACTCACCACTAGAGGGTTCATGGTTGATACTTAGCCTATCATGATTATTTCTTTCACATTCTTTTGTGTCTTAGATTTCTTCAAAAAGATCAAGCTTCTGAATTGCTGTAACATCCCATATAGACATTTTAGGCTGTAACCTAGCACTTAGAACTTGGACCATAGACCCAGATTCCTGAGAGACGGCAGAACAAGAAAGGGTAGGTCAAGACTTGGGCTAGACAAGCGAGTTATCTCACTTCTGGATGTGGAGGTGAAGGGACTCTTGCCTGTGTTCATGCTGTCTCCCCAGAGGCCTGGTGCTGAGTAGGTTTCTGGCCTGGTAGCTTGGTTGGTTCTTCTCCATGTGGCTTCAGCTGCCAAGTAGCTGGCTAGC